TATCATTTCAATCTTCCCTCTTATTTTTGGCTTACGTTAGTAGTGAGGTGACGCACAAGGATTGCTCACCTATAAGGTGTGGTTATCCTCCGACTGTTGACAACAGGAGAATTGGACTGTGTGGTGTTGCAAGGAAAGACGATCAGCATAAGGTATATTTATAACCCATTTATTTGTGGTATATCTCATGCATAGGATCTACTGCTTGCATATAAGTGTTCAGTGCTTTGTTACTTTGATCTCATCTACGATGATTAGCTAACAGATATGTGATTACTAGTAATAGCATTATGTTATGGATGTTCTACAAAAGATAACACTAAGTTTATGCTCACTCTAGCTTATTTTAGCTGTCACATTCTGCAGTTAAACCTCCACTGCTTGGAGAATTGATACGCCTGAAAAGAGAAAGTAAGTGACTACCACTATTTCATTGTTTTGCACACAATCCCGACGTATGTCACTATAAGGTGGATCAATATACTACTCTTTGGAACATGAATCAGATAATATAAGCATTTATCTTATGAAGAGAGCTTCCTCCAAAAGAGAGGTATCACATATTTCAATCAAATATTTGACAGATAGAAGCATCTTTACCTCAAAAACTTATTGTCTACGATACTATGTGAACCTCGAACATTTGGATAATATCTCAAAAAAATAAGCTAATATAAAACAATTACGAAAATAAACTAACGACCAGTAAATTTGATAAACATGAAAGTTGCTATACGCCATTAGAATTTAACCTGGAAATAGAAAAATCAAGATTTCCATCACAAAGTAGATTACAGAAGACAAAGCCACGCATAACAATGCAGAGTATCTAGATCCATTCCAAATCCAAGAAACGATCTGAGTTATCACATCAACCTCCGCCTCCCTCGATGCAGTCAAAGACTCCACCAAATTATCCTAAAACCCCACCAAACTCTCAAAAACAATAAAATAATAATCAAACGAGAGAAACAAACTAGAGGCAAAGAGATCACTTACCTTAGGCGATGATCTCTTTCGAGAGTAAGAAACAGAGAATATACTCATTTTAGGGTTTGGCCGGTCAATGCTGAGGGTGGTGGCGGTGGAGGCGGAATCGCCGAGGAGAGGCGAGATCTCTTCGGTGTCTGCAGCCACCGTCGGCGACTCGACCACCTCGATCACCGTTGCAACTCCGCTTGTGCCGTCGCCGGCGTCGGGGGAGGCCATTGACGACGAATTTTAGGAGCTCGGTCTCCTTCGATGACGACAGCAGCTTGATATTGATTTGATTTGATAAAAGACGGCAATTAAATGGAATCAAAAAGAGTATTAAAGTGAGGTTTTAAAGTTGACTTCTCTTCCCCACTTTGAAGGCCCAATTATAGTGCTTGGGCATTTAGAGTTGGGCTGATGATAAGGCATTGGGCCTAAGTGCCGAGATCAGTCACAAGAAACACTGATTTGTACTTGTACCTAGCCCAACTTTTGGGTTTGCATTATAGTTTCATGGTAAAAAATAAATGAGAGGCAATCATTATTAATATGTACTACAATTTTATTTTGGGTAGGCGATCACGGTTACAATAGCTTGCTCCGTTACAATTATGTATGCCCTTAACTTCATTGGGCCCGCATCAAATTTCTCCTCATGCCTGCACAAATATTTAAATATCTGTAGGGAATGATGGGTATGAAGTGGTGACTCAATTTGATAAATGAGCTAGCAAGGTGGGTCTCACCACATGACTATTTCTTGATAACTCATTTAGTAAAATGAGCCGTTATATAGAGGAGAACTTGTGTCAACTTAAGTGGATAGTGAATAGTGTGTCCACCAAACTTTATATCCACTCATTTAACATATAAAAAGTCACTTCATATCATGCAAGGATCCCTAGGAAACATCCAAGGGTTAAAAAGTTTGGTGGATGTCTATTCACATGGTGGGGATTGTGCAATATCATTTTCAAGGAGGAAATCCCCTCCTTGACATAGGACACCTATTAACCTATATATATAAACAGCGAAGGAAATGAGGAAACCAATTAAGAAAATGTGAAAAATAAGCAAGACATACTCCACCACACCCTGGTGTGGTGTCTGCCACACCCTGGTGTGGTGTCTGCCACACCCAGGTGGTAAAGTGTGACAGAATTTGTCTTGTTTATCATGCGTGTGGTATTTGTCATACCCTGATGTGGTAGAATCTGTCATGTTTGTTATGGGGTGTGGTGTATGCCACATCAGGGTGTGGCGGACTCATTTTTTAGAATCCTAATCTATTTGGGATTGTGTTTTGTTATAAATAGAGACACATTTTTAGGGTTTTCTATCTATTGATTGGGTAGCTTGAAGGTGATTAGAAAAGAGAGATCTTTCTAAGCAATTTGTTTGAGGGTTTAGTTTGAGAGATTTGAGAGATTTGTTTGAGAGGTTAGTTGAGTGATCTTGTAATCTCTACTTTGTACTCTCTTTCTCTATAGTGAAAACTCATCCCTTTTTGCCCCGTGGACATAGGCAATTTACCGAACCACGTTAAACTTTTGTGTTTGAGTTGGTGCCATTATTTTGGATTATTTTGGCTTTCTCTCTCGGCGTTTGTGTTTGTTCCGCCGCGCACAACAAGTGGTGTTAGAGCTCAGGTTAGGCTTGAGCTATTAGGAGTAGTAGAACACTTTGGAAGTTCGGCTAGAGCTTCGTTTGGAGTTAAATGTGGGATCTTTTTGGTAAAAATTTTATATTTTTCAGTTTTGGATCTATTCTTCGTTTGTTCCATTTTGGTTGTTGGTGCTTTGAGGAATTATGGCCAGGAAAGAAGGAGTTGTGGAGGGTACTTCAGGTGTGAAGATCGTCCAAAGTTTGAATATTCACTCTATGAAGATATACTTGAAGAAGTTTAATGACACTAATAATTTTGGACTTTGACGATGTGAAGTCTTGGATGCACTCAACACACAAAATTTGAAAGATACTTTAGAATTGGATGCCAAGCCAAATGATATTGATAAGAGGGTTTGGAAGAAGATGAATCGAACGATGTATGTTGTGATTAGATCTTGTTTGACTCAAGATTTAAAGTATGATGTAGTTAATGAGAGTTCAGCTAAGAAGATTTGGGAGATCCTTGAGAATAAGTATTTGACCAAGAGTGTGAAGAATCGCTTACATTTGAAGAGGAGGCTTTATTGCTTCCAATTGAAGAAATGAACCTCCATTGGTGATCACATGAACCACTACACGAAGCTTCTTGTGGATTTGGGGAATATAGATATTATGATTGAAGATGAGGATAAGGCATTGTTGTTGTTAAGTTTCTTACCTAACAAGGAATATGAGACTTTCGTCCTTACTCTTATCAATAGGAATGCATCTCTTTCGTATAGTGAGGTCACTGCTGCATTTGTGAACTATCAGCTTCGAAAAAAAGATAAGGAGTCTACAAGTGACACAGTAGCGAAGGCGTTGGTCGCAAGAGGGAAGAATCCAAACCGAAATAATTGAAAGTCGTAGTCTAGAGTAGGGCATCCTACAGTTGGAAAAAATCAGTGTGCTTAGTGCAAGGAGACTAGTCAGTGGAAGAAAAATTGTCCAAAGCTCGACGAATGAATGAAGAATAAGCAAAAGAGAAAAGGAAAGCAACCATCATCAGAAGCAAACATTGTTATATCGGATGGTAATATTTCTGATACTTCTATTTATTTGTTTTCTATCAGTCCTACAGGTAGCTACTCGGAGGAATTCGAGTGGATGTTGGATAGTGGTGTGACCTATCATGTGTGCCTTAGAAAGGAATGGTTCTTCAGTTTTGAGAAACTGGATAGTGGTGTGGTGTATATGGGTGACAACCGTGCATACCAGATCCTTGGGATAGGAAGAATTCACATCAAGATATTTGACGGGATAGTTAGAGAGTTATATGGTGTGAGATATGTTCCTTCCTTGAGTAAGAACTTGATCTCAATTGGAGCTTTGGTTGGAGAAGGTTTGAAGGTTTGTGTTGAGAACATGGTTCTCGAGATCGTGGAAGACTCTTTGATTGTGATGAAGGCGTCAGGAGGAATAACATATACTGTTTGATTGGAAGTTTGGTGACAGGTAGAGAGCTGGCAACTTCTGTTGATTCGATTAGACTGCGGTATTTGGAGCTTAGTCATTCCAGTATTGATTTGGAGATGGTTGCACAGACCTGCAATTTAAAGTCCAGTGAATACTTTGATGTGAGCAAGAAGACCAATGTGAAGTTTGGCACCTCTATTCATCGTACTAAGGATCTTTTAGATGTTTGGTTTCCTTTGTTGGAGGTTGTTCTAGGCGTGTTTGGGTTGCAACCAAATCCCCTTTGGATAAAGTCCTAGTAGTCTCTAACAGATTGAAGAAGTGTGAGATTGACAGAAAGGTGAAGGTACTTCATTCTGATTTTGGTGGGAGGTAGAAGAGGGACCTGTTTTGTATTCAAGCCGAGCTCACAATATTTTGAGACACTTCGGTGGAAAAGAAATATTGGGACAACAAGATGAGATGACAAATTTGGTGAGTTGTTCCTTGCTGGAGGAGGACCGATATTTGATGTCGAGCATTGAGTCTGGTGTTGAGGCTTTGAAATATTTGGGTCATCTTGGTCATAGGTTACCGACTGCTATGATTGGAGGTAAAACTCTGTTGGATGTTTGGTCTGGTAGTGTCACTTCGCTTGAGGCTTCGATAAGGGAGCTAATTGACTCTCAGCAGGTGGAGAGTTTGGACAGACCTTAGATGTATCACAGCGGGTGGAGAGTGATGCTACTTCATATTGGGTGGAGATTACTTCACATACTCCAGATCATTCTGCATCGTTTGAGATTCCAACTGAGGTGACACAGTTAAGGGATCATTTGGATTTGAGTACAGATGATGAGTTTGTTGATTCGAATATAGCTGGTGGATATGATTTGGATACGGTCATTGGTTCATCTCAGGTGGAGGTGTTTGATTTGTTTCACTTCGGAGCCATTGGGAGTGTCATTAGTTGCAGATCCATTGGTGATGTTGGTAAAGTGTTGCAAACTTTTCTATTTGATTGAGGGCATTTGGAGGCCGTTTGATGAACTACAGGCGGCTTGATCCTTTAGGAGAGGGGGGGTACGTAGGCAGTCATTTTGATGCAGCCGGTTTGGTGAGTTGATACTGACATTTGGAGAGTGTTCGCATTCTCGTTTGGGTCTCGACTTATTGTGGATTAAGTCCGTTGTCGTGGTTTTGTTCCACTTCATATTGGATGCAATAAGTGAGACATTTGATTTGATTGGTGTCGGCTCAGTTTTTGGAAAAACTTCGTCGAGGTAGAGAATTGTGAAAACGGCGAAGGAATTAAGGAAAAGAATTGAGAAAAACAAAAAAATAAGCAAGATAGACTCCACCACACCCTGGTGTGGTGTCTGCCACACCCAGGTGGTAGGGTATGATAGAATCTGGCATATTTTCCATGGGTGTGATGTCTGCTACACCCTGGTGTGGCAAAATTTGTCATGTTTGCATGGGTGTGGTGTGTCTCACACCAGAGTGTGGCATACTCGTTTTTTAAAATCCTAACCTGTTTGGGATTGTATTTTGTTATAAATAGAGTCACGTTTTTTAGGGTTTTCTATCTTTGATTGGGTAGCTCGAAGGTGATTTTGAGCATAGAAAAAAGAGATCTTTCTGAGTAATTTGTTTGAGGGTTTAGTTTGAGAGATTTGAGAGATTTGTTTGAGATGTTAGTTGAGTGATATTGTAATCTCTACTTTGTACTCTCTTTTTCTATAGTGAAAACTCATCCCTTTTTGCCCCGTGGACATAGGCAATTTGTCGAACCACGTTAAACTTTTTTGTTTGAGTTGGTGCCGTTATTTTGGATTATTTTGGTTTTCTCTCTCGGCGTTTGTGTTTGTTCCGCCGCGCACAACATATATATATATATATATATATATATATATATATATAAACAAATAAAATGTGTGTGTATATGATATTGAGCTTAAAGTATTAAACACACATAATAGTGATTAGGATCTTATGCTAATCTAATCATGATTAAAAGCTAATTAAAAACTTTATTGATTAATTTGTTCTTGCAAGAATGATATAAGATAGATATGAGCAAGAATGATATGAATAAGCACAAATAAAATGTATGCTAAGCAAAACACAAACAAACGATATGTTTACGAGGTTTGGTCACCACGACCTACGTCCCCGCTCATCACCTCGAGGAGATATTCACTATCACAATCCGGTTTGGAAGTCAAAACTTCTACGCACTCGGTTTACAAGTTTACCGAAAACTCTCACACAA